TAGGATTTATAGGGGAATGGGGGTAATAGAAAGGATTTATTAGGGGATAGGGGTAATTTTAATGATTTATAGGTGAAGAGGGGTAATAGTAATGATTTATAGGGGGAAGAGGGGTAATAGTAAGGATTTATTAGGGGATAGGGGTAACTTTAATGATTTATAGGGGAAGAGTGGTAATAGTAAGGATTTATGGGGGGGAGAAGGGTAATAGTAAGGACTTATAGGTGAAGGGGGGTAATAGTAAGGATTTATAGGATGAAGAAGAGTAATAGTAAGGATTTATAGGGGAAGGGGTTATAGTAAGGATTTATAGGGGGAAGAGGGGTAAAAGTAAGGATTTATAGGGGAATGGGGGTAATAGAAAGGATTTATTAGGGGATAGGGGTAACTTTAATGATTTATAGGGGAAGAGTGGTAATAGTAAGGATTTATAGGGGAAGAAGGGTAATAGTAAGGACTTATAGGTGAAGGGGGGTAATAGTAAGGATTTATAGGGTGAAGAAGAGTAATAGTAAGGATTTATAGGGGGAAGGGGTAATAGTAAGGATTTATAGGGGGAAGAGGGGTTAAAGTAAGGATTTATAGGGGAATGGGGGTAATAGAAAGGATTTATTAGGGGATAGGGGTAACTTTAATGATTTATAGGTGAAGAGGGGTAATAGTACGGATTTATAGGGGGAAGAGAGGTAATAGTAAGGATTTATAGGGGGAAAAGGGTAATAACAAGGATTTATTAGGGGATAGGGGGAACTAGGGTAATATTAAGGATTTACAGGTGAAGGGGGGTAATAGTAAGGATTTATAGGGGAAAGAAGGGTAATAGTAAGGATTTATAGGGGGAAGGGTTAATAGTAAGCATTTATAGGGGAAGAGGGGTAATAGTGATGATTTATAGTGGGAAGAAGGGTAATAGTAAGGATTTATATGTGAAGGGGGTAATATTATGGACTTATAGAGGGAAGAAGGGTAATAGTAAGGATTTATATATGAAGGGGGGTAGTAGTAAGGATTTATAGAGAGAGAGTGGTAATAGTAAGGATTAATATTATTTCCATTATAATGATATCAGGTGATAATAGTAATAATAAGGATAATAATGATAATAGTAAGGATTTCTACTATTTCCATACTAATGATATGTAGATGATAATAGTAATAATAAAAATGGTAATAATGATAATAATATTAATGATAATTATGATAATGATCATAATGATAACGATAATAATAATCACTTTATTAGGGTAAGAAACTAGACTAAAAAGCCTTTCTTGTATTTCCCCCAACTTAATCAAAACAAAATTAATCAGCAACAATTTTACAAGCAATATGAAATGATAACAAAAGAAACATGTAATAACTGTAAATTTCTTAGATTTACAGATTTCAAGCCAAATAAGGGCCATTTTCTATGATATACAAAGTTAGACACTTTAGTTTCTTATCTGAAAACATCCAAACATTAAATTCTAATATCCGCTTGTGTATGTGTATTGGAAAAATACCAGAAAATGGCCTCTGGTTTAATCCTATAAAGACTGTCTTGTCTTCAACTGAAAATCGAATATTATCTTACAGTTAACCCTGGCAAAGTCAATTCCAGCTATTAAGCTTTTATAAAATTGGAATAGTCTGGTTTTCTGACCTGTTTCCAGCAATTAGTAATTCTGGTTCCAGCATTTAGTAATTCTGGTTCCAGCATTTAGTTATTCTTCTGGTTCCAGAACTGAGTGATTATGGTTTTAGCTTTTAGTGATTCTGGTTCCAGCATTTAGTGATTCTTCTGGTTTCAGAATTTAGTAATTCTGGTCGTAGCATTTAGTGATTCTTCTGGTTCCAGCATTTAGTGATTCTTCTGGTTCCAGAACTTAGTGATTATGGTTTTAGCTTTTAGTGACTCTGGTTCCAGCATTTCGTGATTCTTCTGGTTCCAGCATTTCGTGATTCTTCTGGTTCCAGCATTTAGTGATTCCTCTGGTTCCAGCATTTAGTGATTATGGTTTCAGCTTTTAGTGATTCTGGTTCCAGCATTTAGCAATTCTTCTGGTTCCAGCATTTAGTAATTCTGGTTACAGCATTTAGTGATTCTGTTCAAGCATTTAGTGATTCGTCTGGTTCCAGAATTTAGTGATTCTGGTTCCAGAATTTAGTGATTCTGGTTCCAGCATTAAGTGATTCTGGTTCCAGAATGGGTGATTCTCGTTCCATCATTTAGTGATATTTAGTGATTCTGGATCCAGCATGTAGTGATTCTTCTGGTTCCAGAATTTAGTGATTCTGGTTCCAGCATTTAGTGATTCTTCTGGTTCCAGAATTTAGTGATTCTGATTCCAACATTTAGTGATTCTGGTTCCAGCATTTAGTGATTCTGATTCCAGCAGGTTCCAGAATTTAGTGATTCTCGTTCCAGCATTTAGTGATTCTCGTTCCAGCATTTAGTGATTCTGATTCCAGCAGGTTCCAGAATGTAGTGATTCTCGTTCCAGCATTTAGTGATATTTAGAGATTCTGGTTCCAGCATGTAGTGATTCTCGTTCCAACATCAATGATTCTGGTTCCAGCATCCGTGATTCTGGTTCCAGTATCCGTGATTCTGGTTGCAGCACCTGTGATTCTGGTTTCAGCATCTGTGATTCTGGTTGCAGCGTGTCTTCTGTGGCCATATCTTCCTTATAGAATAATACGACATTTCGTTAGCTAGTCGGACTTAAGCTGTACTATAGATCTCTTATTCACTAGAGAATTGAGTATAATGACAAGTAGCCCCGGGGTAGGAAAGTAAAACCCCCAGACTCTCCAAACATCTATATAATGAAATGAATGAGTATTAGACAGTAATGGTTTGTGATAAGTCAGACTTAGAAAAATAATTGGACAAAACAAGTCGGCTACGATAAAAATTGGAAGCAAATATCTCTGGGACATTTTGAACGTTATATAGTTTTCCATACGAATACAAATTCGATTTTTTCTTGGATACAAAAAGACGTTTTTCTCGCAAAATACCATTTAAATTTGTAAAACTATATTGAAAAAATTTAAGCTAGAAAAATGTTATTAAATGTTTGAATTTTAGACGTAAGCTTAAAGATGGGTTCCCTTATTTTCATTTATGAATATAATGACTTGGAAAAATATCAGTTTGTCTCACATGTCCATGATTAAATAATTATTAGCTAAATTAGAAGAGAATTACCTGCAGAATTCCAATGAGTGACTGATCAAGAAAGTTTTTTTTTAGTTTATCCAGACTGTATATACATGGACATTAATGATAAGTCTAAACTCTTCATTATATGCAATAAGAACATAATGATATGATTAAGAATACATGATAAGTCCTTAGAATCACCAATTTATCAAATAGTTTGCTTAATTTGACAATAAAATATAAGGAATTCCCCTCTTTAATTTCACCTAAAGCGGATATTAAGCACTGCGATTGGCAAATATAGTCCTATATTGAATTCTATTATACGCTTTAAATGCATTCAAATCCGAACGCATTCAAATTAGGCCAGCAGACGGCTTCAAGCGAATGTAATCGAATGTGTCTATAGCGGAAATGACGTTTTCTTTCAAAAGCAGTTTCTCTGAAATATATAGAATTCATTATACATTGGCATACATTTTTTTCAATATTAGACATTAAAGGGACATTCTTTTTAAACAATCATACTTTAGTCTCAGAAACGGAATTTTGTTTTAGGTATGTCAATCAGTAATAGTGTTCAAAGCTCCCTGCCTAAATTTGAGCCCTTAGATCCATTTGAGTCCAGAATTATCTGCGTTTGAAAGTTAAATTGACGACTCGCCATTTTGGGGGTTGAATTTAGTCTTGAATATATGTAAGTAGACTTCACGAGTACCAGAAATGTATGAAAATCACATAATTCCTTAAACTAGGAATTTGACTCACTATTCTATATATGTCTTTTCTATATATCACAGAGTATCTTAAATTGACGAGTCAACATTTAAACAAATAATTCTGGACACACATGGATTGGAAGGCCCATATTTCGACTGAGCTATGAACACTTTTACTTATTAACTAAAAAATTCCATTTTCTGAGACTAAAGTATGATTGGTCAAAAAATGCCGTACCTGTCCCATTAACCTAAAATTGTTATGGTGGTTTCTGAATTTGACCACCAACGATTCTGAACAAAAGTGTCATAATTCACCATCGATCTAAATAACTATGTAATATGTGAACTTTATGATATGAACGCTGGAGATAGCCTTTCAGGCATGACCATTGATTAATATTCCTGGAAGTCTGCAGCAATCACATTTCTCAAATACAAATAACTGAATTACAAAACGCAATTAATTATTCCTTTCGTTTTATGATAAAAATCATTTACAGCTTTGCTAAATTTGTACAGAGCCGGGTGCGTTTATTCACTGGTCTTTTCGCTTCCTTGGAGAAAAAAAGGCGTAAAATATTACCGTGAACAGACACGAATATTTCATCGACAATTGTTAGGAATTTTCAATTCAATGCAAATAGCCCGAGGCAAGTTTCTAAAAACTCAGATAATTAGTGAGGCTACAAAACTTTCAGTTCAATGCAAAAATAGTTTGGCTTAATAAAAAGGGTTTTTGAGTTCGTTTTGAACAAGCAATTTGTTACATATAGGTCAAATAAAATCTTTTAATCCGAAACACGTGACCGTATCATTAAGTATAAATAGCCCAATTATAATTTTGACTGGTCGGCAATGCAAGCGTTTATGAAGGGGCACAGCCGTTCAAGGGCATTAATAAGTAAAAAGGTGTTGACTTTGACCTTGAATATATGTAAATAGTCTTCAGAAATACTAAAACTGTATGAACAACGCAAAATTCCTTCAAAATACCTCAAACAAGAAATTTAACTTTTTATTTATTTCGTTCACAAGCTTATCTCCTCTCTGAGATTTGGGAAATCCGAAAGTTGAACGTCTTGTTGATATAGTCCAAGACATCTTCCATCGCAGCTGTGCGTAGATGAAGTGGGACGGGATGATCAAGCCTCCCTTACACACAAGGGCTAAATTTAATTGTATAAGAATATGGCGATGAAATTAAGAGCTATGAAGCTCACTAGAATGTTGTGAATCTTCAATCCATGCTCTACTGATAGGCTACATACAAGGATTTAAAACCTATATGAATATGGAGTTGCAATTAAGGGCTACGAATGTTCTGCGTGTCGCATCAATGTTCTACACAAGGGTAAAAAACCTCTTTGAATGAATTTAATTGTATAAGAATAAGGTTTTGAATTGGGATCTGTTGATGGAATAAAGGAACAATGAAGCGGTATACAATGTACATCTAACGTTATACCATGTTGTTTATTTATTGCTTGGCAACTCTAGTTTTAACTGTACGGATGTTCTAGATTCTATTCAACGTAAATTGAATAAACATAAACCCTAACAATGGAAGATACAGTTTAAACTATAAATCTTTGTCTATATTATTTAGTTAAAGGGATTATTACTTGCAATTCGATTCCCGGTTTTGGAATAGAATATTATGACGTCAAAGTCCCACACTACTTGCATGCAAAATTACAGATAGGATGGCGTAAAAGATCTTAGGGACAGGTGCGCCATTCTCAGAGGTTGATTTGAGTCCTGAATATATGTAAATAGTTTTCAGAAGTACTAGAAATGTATGAAAATTTCATAATTCCTTCAAAAATATCTCAAACCATGAGTTTCACTTTCTGTTTCTATATATGTTTTTTCTATGACAGAGTCTCAAAAAGACGCGTCGTCTTTTTAACTTTCTAACCGTAATTTTGACGGTGAGCTAGTGAACACTATAACTGATTGGCTTAGCTAAAAAAAATTCCCGTTTCTGAAACTAAAGTATGATTGGTCAAAAAAAATACATTATAAAATTACCTAAAAATTAAAAATGTGCTCTCTCACCATAGAACTATTTCACCTTATTTCGTGTTGTTATGGACCGGAAAAACCGACTAAAGTATCATCAAATCGCAGCTTCCGTAACGGAAGTAATGTAAGTTATGGCGGCTGTGGTGGTATATCACAATCTCTTCAAGTAATTGAATCGAACTTCTCTTTTGACAGGGAAGGATGTCAGTTAAGCTATTAGAATATCATTGACTGACATTCAGCCTTGGGAGAGTCCATTCTTAACTCATACAAACGATAATTTGGGAAGCCAATAGATCAGGGCGAGCAGAGCATGAGCACGATGTTGGATCGTTGAATAAGGCTGTCTTTAGACCCTAACTGAAGTGGCTATGTTGAAAATACAAGCTAATAAAAAACGAAACGCATTATTTTAATTAGACTGCAGCATCAGTGCCAACAGTGCAAGACATGACACATGACAGCACAGTACAGTACAGTACAGCACATGATAGAATAGACGCTATGATATACAAGTCAGTTCAAAACTTTCATTGAAGAGAAAAACGAAATTAAATGTGTAAAACCAAATGTCTCAATAACACCGAAGAAGCTACAAAAAGTTATGCATTTATCGTTCCCGTTATTTACACTTCTACTGTTGGCATATTGAAGATATTTACTTTTAAATTGAATTATTTGCTTAACAGACTGGCAAATCTGGTCTATTAATAACTATGTCAATATCTTCACCGAAGGTGTTGCAGTCACAATTTAATGCCACATTTTGACCGGCATCAGTGCAAACACACCCGTTGCCCATGGAAAGCCAGCTATTCCCCTCGACGTCTTATGCAATTTTCAGAGTTACACTATCAATCATAAACAAGCATCACTTTCCAGTTATAATAATGATCATTGATCAATTTTTAATGTCACCATCCGATTCAGATGTCAGGATCAATCCATGATAAACCACCCAATTCAGATGTCAGGATCAATCCATGATATACCATCCAATTCAGATGTCAGGATCAATCCATGATAAACCATCCAATTCAGATGTCAGGATCAATCCATGATATACTATCCAATTCAGATGTCAGGATCAATCCATGATAAACCATCCAAATCAAATGTAGGATCAATCCATGATATACTATCCAATTCAGATGTCAGGATCAATCCATGATAAACCATCCAATTCAAATGTCAGGATCAATGCATGTGAGATCATTCAATTCAGATATCAGGATCAATCCATGATATACCATCCAATTCAGATGTCAGGATCAATCCATGATATACCATCCAATTCAGATGTCAGGATCAATCCATGATATACCATCCAGTTCAGATGTCAGGATCATTCCATGATAAACCATCCAATTCAGATGTCAGAATCAATCCATGATATACCATCCAATTCAGATGTCAGGATCAATCAATCCAATTCAGATGTCAGGATCAATCCATGATATACCATCCAATTCAGATGTCAGGATCAATCCGTGATAAACCATCAAATTCAGATGTCAGAAAACTGGCTTCAGCATCATTCAGTTCAGATGCGAGGACCAATGGCTGTAGCATCATTCAATTCAGATGCCAGGACCAATGGTTTCAACATCATCCCATTCAAAAGCCAGGACACATAGCTTCAACATCATCCCATTCAGATGTCAGAACAAATGGCTTCAGCATCATTCAATTCAGATGCCAGGACCAATGGCTGTAGCATCATTCAATTCAGATGCCAGGACCAATGGCTTCAACATCACCCCATTCAGATGCCAGGA